CGTTGACTGGGTCAGCGGTCACCGAGGCGCACGTGAGGCATGCAGCTCTTTGATTATACAGAGAGAGAGTAAAGCTTAATTACTAAACACTGAGACCCCAAAAACTCACTTCTTTGTCACACAACATTTGATGGGTTGTGCATGGAAAACAATCCGGGCTCTGGTGTTTCGCGGCGACAATAAAACTTAGTTTAAATTTAGAATATCAAAATAAAACACCTAACACAAATATCTGTTGTCGTTTAAGAGTTAAAATACAGGAAAGATAATCACCGTAAATCTACCCCTAATTCTGCTAAATTTTCTTTCTTTCGTGACTATAAGGGTATTGGTTAAACTACAGGCGCGTGCACGTGCGGGGCTGCAGTGGCAGGCTTAGATCATTGCGATTTAAAGCTATGAGTGACACTGCAACTGTTATGTACAGGCTTACCATCAGGCGCACGACTTGTTCGTCCCGTCATTTAATATCATTAAAAAAATCATGGTCCAAAGGTCACTTGATAAAATTATAATAACACAAAGGAATGTTTATCTATTTTTGATATGTCATTAACAGTTACGTATTTCAATTTATATTTAATATAATAGGTCAATTACTATGCTATGTATTGTAATATTTGAACGTATTCATTAAAAGTACAGAAGTTTGTAAAGCGAAGGATAGGTCGAGTTCATAGGGGGCGCCACCAGCGTAGCGAAGTCAGACGGTTAGAAACGTCAATGATGGTAACGAATTTTTCAAGCGGTAAGGTGAGATAGGAGGATTGAAGAGAACTCAGGTCTATCTGGGGCGGAGGAAAAAGGATTGTAAAGGAAGTGAGTTTCCCCTTTATGTAACCAATGATTATATTGAAGTTTAACTCGGTATTGCAACTACATACTACAAATGTAATAATGTTAATTGAATGTGGCCGACATTTTGGACGTCGACACGCGAACTTAAAAAAATATCATGCAGTAATAAATCTTCAAACCTGTCGTCACTGCAATGAATTCTCATCTGCTTGTAACAAAATGTTGTGTTCACGAATTTGCATAAAAAGCGTGCCCGATTTAGAACTAAGAAAGGGCACAATTCACGGAATTAACTTCAAAAATATTTTTCAACTACACACATAATTATATCTCACTGGGGCAGGCAGTTAAATTAAAATGAATTTGTTTAACATGCTATACAACAAAAAAAAAAAAATACAAAGCACAAAGGTGACGCATATAAATACACACACATAGACATACAGAGAATACAGAGCGCGTTATAAAATATCCCGTGTGGATAGGCGATAGATAAGCGAAGCTACCCAACATTAATTCTTTTTTTAGTTTTTGATCATTAAGAGTCTATACTACCTAAGTTCGAATTCAATTTTTTTCCCGTACTCAGACGGTTCTTTTTGCTTAGGTCGAGCAGCAGGGATATTCAAATGGTCCATGTTTGAAAAATGTATATCGTATACAATATATGTTCTTTTTAATTCAGTTGATATAAAAAAAAATCATTGGTATATGTAAAGTATCTATTCAATACACCGGTTTTCTTGTAAAGTATCGAGTCAAGTTTGTGTTTTTTTCTATAAGGAAAATTTTTAGAAATCGTATTTTCAAACCATGTAATAAACAGTGCATATCCTCAATTTTACTATGATAATATGACGTTACGTGGAATCAAACAAAGCCATTTGCAATTGTATAGAAACTTAAACATTTTTAGTTCACTTTTAAAATGGAACTGGGCCGGACACGTCTGCCGCATGTCAAACGAGCTGTGGGCAAAGACCACCGCGGAGTGGATCCCCCCAGACCCAAAACGAAGCCGTGGAACACCCAGAACGAGATGGCGTGACGAATTGGACGCGTATATGAGGTTTTGACCTGTAGCGGCGTTAAATCGCGAACAGTGGGCAAAGGGAAGGGCCTTTGCCCTGCAGTGGTCCCACTGCCTTTTGCCCTGTAATGGCTGAAAATGGAAAAATTTGAATTCGAAATTTGATCATTAAATATTTCTTTCGTAACCATCATAAGCACGTGTTTTATTTTGACAACATTAATAAATGTACAGGCGTCCCGTTCTGAGGGAAAAAAAAATAATGATTACGTTAATTATACCATCACGCCTATTTCACACTGGGGTAGGTATAGTCTATGAATCCGGGCGGCGTCGTGGTGAATGTTCACTGATCCCACGGCGCCGACTCAACCGGCGAGAGGGCAACCCGGGGGGGTTTTAGTGGGGTAGTCCCTCAGTTTGGAGGGAGAGTCCCCACATAACTCCTGAGTCTCCCTGGGCTCAGGGGTATCCATAAAGATTTCCCGCCCGTCAAAAAAAAAAAAAAAAAAAAGGTATAGTCTATGAATCATCATTCGCTACGTTCCGGACAAACCTTTTTCACCTCCTCTCATCGTATCCGTCACTTCGCAAATGCCCGTTTATTCATGGACGTCTCCAATCTGATCGAGACACGTCGAGGTCTACCTCTCCCCACAATTCCCTCCACATTCGCTCGATAAATTTGCGCCGTCAGTTTACTAACATTTATCCTTTCCACATGAGCAAACCATCAAAGCGTTAACTTTCCTTACCTGGTTACTGCATCATCTTTCATAACACGCTCTCTTACTAACTCTAAACTTTTGAATTATGAAATAAAAAGTAATAGAGTTTGTTAGTTAGTTAGTTAGTTCATGACGTAGTTTTTAACCACATTTAAAAATAGGAGGTGCTCAATTCGACAGCACTTTTGTGTGTAGGTATGATACATGATTACTCCGATAATTGTGAACCGATTTCGATGATTCTCTTTTTATTCGAAAGAGGATACCTCGGTAGCGGTCCCATTTAAATTTAAAGAAAATGTTCCACCTCTAAGTGTGGCAAACTAGGCAATGAGTTCGATTTCAATAAAACTTAGCAAATAGATGGGATTCCGTGAACTTTTGAGGTCCGTTTTTTAATAGTCTTTACTGAGATTATTTTAATAAAAATTTAACGCGTTTAAAATAGGAAATGAAACTATTTTTCGGGATTTAAATCGCGTATATTTGTTTTTTCAAACAAACCGACGTTTCAGGCCCTTTACAGGAGTCAACCGTGACCATGGAACCTGAACAGAGCCCGAAACGTCGGTTTGTTTGAAAAAACGAATATACGCGTTTTAAATCCGGAAAAGTAGTTTCATTTCCTGTGTGTAACAATCGCGAAAACCTAAGAACGCGATGCGTTTAAAATATCTAAACAGTTTTATTTTTCGTATTCGCCTATATTGTTTTATGAAGAAATCGTATACTATATAATAAGTTTTTATTAAACAATAAGTTGAAACATATAGGTAAGGTACAATAAAACCTTAAAGACTAGAAACTGAAACTAGGTTTGAATTTTATGAATAAAATTGGGTCCCCGCGGCAAGGTGCCCGAGATGCAGGCATCTCCTTTGTATGGCTATGCTAATGCGTTGGGCAAGGTAGCCCTTGGGTTTCTTAGACATTCTACTAATTTTTTGAAGGGACCCCACGGGCCAAGAGCTTCTACTCCAAAGGCTGTAAATAGGTAATCCGAGGTTTTGGTACTTATTACTCTTTATTCTTTCTGCCAGCTCTCTTACTGGTGTGCTGGATCTTAATGGTATGGGGCAAGAGTGTCAGCGTACGTGGCGGTTCACACCGCTGCCCAGCACATACTCTAGAGGACTTATTTTTTAAATAATTCTCACTTTAATTATAATATCTTAACACAAGAACAAAGATAACGAAGAACATTACCACGAACACAGATATGGAATAAGTATAAAAGTAAAAACGTAATAATTATTAACAAAAAGGTACAAAAGTTCTTTCGATCCTGCTGGACCCAAACCAGCTACCTAGCCATACAGCGGCTGAAGCCCTCCCAACTGAGCTACGGGTCGAACCAGCAGAACCTAACGAATTTCTCTGTATGCTTGTTTCAGATTGTTTTGTTTTGAAGACTTTTTGTCAAAGGGAATTTTTAGTATTTGTCAGCCCTGTTGTGTAAATTAAATTTAAAAAAATGTAAGCGACTTTTCAAGTGTGTTTCCTTGATTTATAAGTGGGTCTATAGACGTCTGGAAACAAATTAAATTTTTTGTAAACTCGCCCTTGTTAATAAATTCGGTATTATAAGAAAACGCTTTGAAGTTTGTTCAATTATATTCCTATTCATTTTTCCTGCTGCTAACTCAAAGAGAAAAAAGGGTTTACTGATGTAATGAAGTGTACAAAATTAGCCTTTACTGCCTGTGGAAACAAACACAATATTTCCTTGTGGACTAAACAGTATACCATTATGGACTTTTGTATTCTTTGCTTTGAGCATTGGAGCCTTTTCTTGCCACTTAATATTAATATCCTTCGTTGCCTAATTTCTTTATATTCCATTGGATTCAGATTTTGCTTCTTTCTGTTTCGATCATCTGTTCGCTTGTGTGCTAAATGCTTTATTGCTATTGTTATAATTTATATTCCAAATGTGACTACCGAAGAGACTCAGTAAATTCTTTTATGATATTACTTGGTATGATTACGGGATGAACAAGTCAGGCGCCTAGTGGTAACCGACATGCCGTTCCATAACAGTTACATTGCCACTCAGAGCTTTAAGTCACAATGATCTGAGGAGCACTGCCATTGCGCCTGTCGCCCTGATACTTTAGTTCACTAATTCCATGTTTTACCACCATGGTATTAATTTAATGTCATGGTAGTAAAACATTATAAATATATACTCATGACAAGTTACTTAGTTTTACATATGGTTGGCAACCCTATCATACTCATTAGTTCCTTGAAACTGTCTAGATTTAAACCAGGCAATTGGCTATATTGTCTGAAGCATTAATTCATTCTGGCCAGGTTTTACGTGAAGAACACGACGGCTTTCTATTATAGTGGCCCATGGCAATTTATTAAAAAAACTGAGAAGCGCCTGCTTCTCAAAGTTGACGAATCGCAGACTATCCCAATGTTGTCATGTGATTATTCTAACCAATGAGAAGCTTGGAATCTGAATCACAATATAATTAAGCATTTTCTGAATAAAACTCAGTAATAAGTCAAAAACGGGTAAAGAAGGATGGCAACATCCTGTTTTTTTTTCTAATAATATCAAGTGACGGGACGAACAAGTCGTGCGCCTGATGGCAAGCCTGTCCATAACAGTTGCATTGCGCCCGTCACCCTGAGACATAAGTTGATAAGTCCCACGTGTTTGTAATTTCATCATCACTCGTACCCTTCCAAACCGGAACACAGTAATGCTGACATGACTGCTTGGCAGCAGAAATAGGTAAGGTGGCAGTACTTCCCTTTTTTTTACCCGGAGAAATGCGGGACGTGTACCGCACGCCCGGGGGAGGCGCGGGGTTATGTGGGACTCTCCTCACTAAGAACAGAGGCCTGCCTACTAAAACTCCCGGGGTGTTCCTCCACGCACCTTGTGGCGGGAACGCGCGGGAACGCTTCCGCATTCTTCGTCCCGTTCTCCTCCTGCGGATCAGAGCCGAGATTGGATCGTACTCTAGACTACGCTCCGTGGCCTCCTTCTGCGCCATCACTTCCTCGTAGAATGAGGCCATCGCCTCCCATGACGCCACGTCGACGACCATGGCCTTGACCACAGCCAGCAGCGAGAGGTCATTTCCCACCACTGCAGCGAGGGAAGCGCTTTGTTGCACCTACGCTTGACACTCTGCGAGTGTATGGTCGGCAGTGTCCTCACTGTAAGAGCAGTGGTGACATGCCGGCAGTGGCTCTACCGACTATGTACCACAGATACTTGCCGAAGCTACCATGCCCCGACAGGATCTGCAACAGCCGGTAAGTGAGCGAACCGTGCCGCATTCCTTGAGGACGGGACGAACCGCCGCCACAGTCTACTCGCCCGCGCTCGGCTCCTCCAGCCGACTTCGCCAATGCGCCAGCACTTTCTGTTGGGCGGATCTCCTCCACCTCATGACCTCCTCGGGGGTCAGTCCTTCTTCCTGGGCTCGTGCGTCTGCGCATCGCCTATACACCTCCGCAAGGACCCCAGTATCGAGGTCCCAGAGAGGCGCACCAGCGAGCACACACGCCACTCGTACGACACGGTGCGGTATTCTCATATTGTTCTGACCGCCATGACCCGCTGTGGCTTACGCTGCTCGGCCTTGTTCGGGCCGATCAGAGCTCCGAGCCACACCGGTGCGCCATATAGCGCCATGGACCTTACCACGCCGGAATATAACCGTTGGCAGGTCACATTCGGACCGCCCAGATTAGGTATGAGTCTTCCGAGAGCAGATGCGGTCCCGATTAGCTTGGGAGCCAATCATCGAAAATGCTCCCGGAAGTTCCACCTACCGTCGAGGTAAAAATCCAAATATTTCATCTGAGGCTTCACTGCAACGGACACCCCTCAGACGTCAATGCTGGTACCCGCGGGCAGCCTCCTCCGGGGTCCGTGAAAACATAGAGCCTCGGTTTTCTCAGGCCCAGTATTTCGATCCGCCCAACGACCTGCCGAACTCCCGCTGCCGCCGCTACCTCAAAGTTCTTCCCTCGGGATGTGACCAGGGCGTCGTCCGCGTAGCAGAACACCCGGAGCCCGGAAGGAAGGACGCCCCGCAGGACCCAATCATATCCGATGTTCCACAGGGGACGAACCCTTTCACAAGGTGCTCTACTGTCCATAAAAGTGTATATTGTGACCTATCAATACTTGTGATTCATTACAAAGCATCAAAAAAGGTTGTAAAAGCTGGGGCTAAAAGGTATAAAAGGTAAAGGATATAGATTTAGAAGACTGTCCTGTATTTCGCTTCAGATGTTTGTTTGTAGTAGTAAAAAGCAACAAGTTTTCAGTTTGTTCCCAAAAATAGTAAATAACGTGTTGAATATTCCCAAATCTGCCTAACTGTGCCACTTTTAATAAAACGTTAACAGTTAAACGTTAACAGAATTCTGCTACAAATGGTTACACTGTTCCCAATCTCAATGTGACATTGACATGAGCAAGAAGGTCTCGAGTAGAGACGTTCCCTTGCAAACTATCTTATCTCTCATTTAAACAATGTCTAAACATTTTTGTCACAATGTGCTTAATTTTTTACTCTACGTCATTATTGTTTAATTGATTATTTGAGTAGGCATCTTAGGTAGGTAACCTTCAATCACGTTTAAAATAAAACATATACGTATGAGAATGTTACTTAGTCTATAGTCGAACAGAATCAATTGCGTTGTGTTCTTGCATTTATTCTAAATACATAGTTTTACAATTTCTTTATTTCGGATTTCTAAAAGTATACAAAAATATATATATAACTAAGCATAAAGTAAAAACTAAAACTTAATAAACGGACGGCTCTTCGTTGATTTTATAAATATTGAGTCAGTTTTCGCCATCCTTCTTTGGGTTGAGCCAATATTCTCGAAAAACAGCGAGTTTTTATTTTATTTATCTTTGTGGAGCTTCACAAAAAACGAGCGGAGTCGAACCTCGGTCGCGCCAGGAAGTGGTCACTGTCGACCACCGAATTTATTCGCGCACGCTATCTCCGTGTGAAGCATTATATTACGAGGAAGTTTAGGCTATTAAGATACGAATATCGGTTCTATATCCGTTGTTTTGGCACGCTTCTCTCTGCACTGCCACGTTGCTGCTTTTTACCCTTGTCTAGTCTAGACGCCATTTTTGTATATAATGAATTTGTGCTTTTTGTTAAGCCGTTTTCGCCTCATGACTTTTACAATTTCGTCCTTACACGCAAACCCGACTTAGGAGTTCCGTAGTTTCAAATCAAGTATACTCCCGCATAGACACATGCACACATTCGGGTTATAATTTAAGGTAAAAATCACGGATGAAAAAACAATGAAGTTTCTCCAAAACCATACTATCATATGTTAAACTCTATGAAATCTTGATAATGATTGCTCATAGTTTCTATTTTAAAAAGACGTAACGTATTCAGACTGTTAATATAATTTAATTGTTGTAAGTTACGACGTTTTGATTTTATATTGCAATTTCAATCAATGTGCTGCCAGCTGGCGGTCCATGGCTGAACGACGACGTACTCGATGTTCATTTAGTTCTTCAAAAATCGACCATATTGCTGGAGTAGAAGATATATTTTTGTGTGTTGTAACAAAAAAAATATTACGATAAACAGAAAATTTATTAAAATTAAATAACATTTAAAGTTATGAAACACCACCGCCGATATTATTACAGGTGCTATTATTTTTGCACTCTTTAGCAGAAAAATAAGCATTTTTGCACGATTTTCGAGGTTTTGCGAGAGATAATTGACACGCTCATGACGTACAAAGCGGAAATAGCGGACTGAACTCAAGTATGTGGAACTACACGTGCTTTTGGAACACGTGTCACGCTCAGTAACCACTTCTACTATATTTATTGTTCTGTGGTATGTGTAACTTTTCTTCTCAGTCGTATTCCTCATTGGACGAGTTTCTTCCATCAAGTTCTGTTTTCGGCTTCTATCAGGGCCGTTGCAATAGGGAGGCCAGTGAGGGTGGTCACTTGGTCATTCCAAGTCCACCCTGGAGTCTTTGTTCTTCCATGTTATCCACCACAATCAGTTTGTCAAGGTCAAGTTTGATACCTTGACTTTGTAGAGAAACATTTTATTTTCTATATCAATACAGATATTCAATTTAGTAGCAGTAGTGCTACTTGTGAAAAAGTTTATTCGGGGAAGTACTGCTACCTTCAATATTTCTGCCGCCAAGCAGTAATGTGAGCATTGCTGCGTTCCGGTTTTTGTTTTATCCGCTCACGCGATGCGCTCCTCCTACCGCAAAATGGCGGCTATTTGGTTTCGCAAATTAGAAAAGCATTCAGTTTAAATGCAAGTTTTTATAAGTAAAAATTATTATTCTGCATTGCTAAATAAATACCCTCCGTACTACCAACAAAAACATCGCAAATAAAATGCAGTAATACACCGCAAATCCTGCACTTAAAAAGCACTGATGAAATTTTTGGTGTACTTGGATAAATATGATAACATTCCGTTTGAGTGGTTCTAACGTTTACCATGAAATTACTCCTTAAAGTGTAGTTTATAAACATTTATATTCAGGGTAAACTTAAAAAACGCTACTTACAGTATGTTTTCAATAAATAAACACCGAAATCACCAGCCCAAACAATAACACACACGATTGTCGTGACGTATATTTGAAGTTGTTTATTTTTTTTAAATGACAGACCCAGCCATTAAAAACTTTATGGACCGCTAGAGTAGTTACCGAAATAGCAATTAATATTAGTTCTTTTCCCTGTTATAACTTCGATATCCGATAAATCGGTACAAAATCATCACCTCTAGGCGTGGTATGCTTCTACGGCTTGCATTGCACGTATCGCGTGAGCGGTTACGGGTAAGGGTACTGGTGAAATTACAGGTGTATGGGACTTGTCAATCTATGTCAACAGTTAACAGGGCCCTAAAGTTATTGACATTAAGTTAAACTTGAGTCTAAATACAGATAACAAAATTACACTTGAAATCAAGGTTTTAACTCTGTGGCTTCTTTATTAATTCATGGCTGATGGTAGTTTACCTTAAAAAGAACTATCAGGAACCCACGAGTTGTGAAGTCTTTAGAAGTCGAGATAAACTACTAGTGCCGAAGAGTCAATTGATTATTAAAAATAGATTATTGATTAGATGAAGACATCAACAATATTTTCAATTTAATTTGAATGAATGAAACGCCTGACAGTTTTATCCGACGAGGTAAGCTGCTTTCGACGATTTTATTTGCTATAGTGAAAAACAGCTTACTGAGCTACTGTTAAAAAACATCCATATTCCGTCCGTATTGTTTCGATTACGCGAATTGATAATAACGTAGGTAATACGATTGAGATCTAAATCAAGAGTATTAGTGTAATCAGGGACACACAGGTGCAAGCGAGATACTTGTCTCAGTGGTAGAAAATAGCAGTTGTATTAATTTTATAGGAAATGAAACTAATTATAATATCCGGATTTAAAAAAATTAGTTTATTCTAATTTCTATTATTAATTAATAATAAATTGAACTTAATGAAATAATTTGTAAAACTTAATGTAGCGTAAATTGGAATGTTTTCTTTGTAAAATTAAAAATAAGGTATTTAATTAATAACTATTGTAACTATAGTGAAAAAATAGGGTGGTTTCATCAATATTAGACATAACTGGTTGAAGACTGTACCACCTCAGTCAACCGTGACCTTGGGACCTGTAAAGGGCCCGAAACGTCGGTTTGTTTGAAAAAACGCGATTTAAATCCGGAAAAATAGTTTCATTTTCTATGTGCAACAATCGCGAAAACCTAAGAACTCGATATGTATTAATTTTCTTATATTGAAACTGTTCGTTGTAATTATAGCTTTAATATAGAAAATTGATGACGCAAATGAGATTTCGTGTTATATGAGTCTTACCACAACCTCCTAAGACCCCGTGTACATTAAAATATACATAATATATGAAGTTAATTAATTAATGAAGTTAATTAGAGTTAGTTAACTAGTAGTAAGTTAATGGCCGTTTTGACAGATCACAATAGTGAGGTGAAATATTAATTCATTATCGAAAAAAATATTATCAAATTCTTGTCGCATCTATAAGTTTTTAGATGTATGACTAGTATTGCAAGGGGTAGCTGATTAAATGGTTTTAATAAAATGAAAATAAAAACGTGGCCTGCGATCGTTGACTTACAAATAAATGGACGACGGGTCTAATACAAAAACCACGAAAAAAATGTCCCAAGTCAACCTATTTAAACGTAGTGACATGTAAAGGAATATGAAAAAGCATAAAACGTTGAATATAAATTGTAATGTCATCGCAGTATCGCGCTGTCAGTCGAACAAATGAAGACTAAAGCGGAGTTTGACGCTCTGTATACGCTTTTAACGCCTTACAAGTTCGGACACTTTTTAGCGCGGACCCGACGTCCATATAATTGTAAGTCAATGCCTGCGATCCTATACGTGACGATCGTATTAGATTTCATTTACAAAAATTTTGAATTTCGAAAAACAAATACCGAGTTGAGTCGTAAAATTATACAGTCCATAAATTTTATTGCACAT